TCGGGCCGACCGCTGGTTTTGTGTGTCGCTTCGTGGCTGCGCGATGTAACGCAGGGCTTTTTCCTGCCGCAGGTGCCGGTTTGTGCGGGAGCGGGACAGGCTGGGGAACGAGTACCCCAACCTGCACTACCCGGAGCTGTACGTCCTGAAGGGGGGTTACAAGGACTTCTTCTCGCGATGCCGCGTAAGTGACGTTCTCTTAAATTCACCTCTGCCACGCTCAGAGGGGAAGAAACGACAGATAAATACGTACCCCCGCACATTCCCACCCCACCGGACTTCTCTTTGGGGCAGGCTGTGTGTTGCTGGGGTGGGTTTTCCTGCTCCGTTTCCCGGTGCTTTCCCGTACTGAGAACAGTTACAGCGTTGGCAGTGAGGCTCCGAGCCTGCTCCACGCTTCAGAGCTGTCTTGCTGCCATAGCTGAAAGGTTTTTCCACTTTTTTTTTGTCTCAAGAGTAACATACAAAACTGGTTTCTGCCCTTTTATAACAACTGGGAGTTCAAAATGTCACTGGGAGAAGGAATTTCAGACTGCTCAGCCTGCGCGGACTAGGAGAGAAGAGGCTTGACAGTAATTGCCGTGTAACAAATCCAAACCTGCAGCCTCATACTGTACTAAAATAACCCCGAAAAACCTGAGCTTTGGGTTTTCACCTCTAGTTCAGAAGAGGAAACTAAGAACTGCCCAGCAGCTCCCTTCCCAGCCTCGTGAGGATGGTGTTTCTCGTGTCGCCTGCCTTCCGCTGCTTCAGCCTTTCAGTGGCTGTACTGGTTTTCTGCTGTTCTGACACAAACCAGACTGGCCTGGCTGTCACTTTAGTCCCTCTCTCTCTTAGATTACGGTCCTCTCGGTGACTCGTTGCGTTTTCAGAGAGACGTGAGGTGTCTGGCCGTTCTGTGGCTAGCTGGGAGGTGCTGTGTGTGCTTTTCCAGTGGGATGTTGGGTGTCCCGCCATTTGGGCCACCCTGGGGGATGCTAGTGTTCACAGCTGTCCTGGTTTTTGGCTCTCCCTGCTGACTCCCCTGCGGAGGTGGATGCCTGGGTTTTGTTCCAGGCCCGTGGGTGTCCCCTCCCGAGGTGAGAGGACCAAGAGCCTCGAGGTGGCAGCATGGAACCAGCCGACGGGAGCCTTAGTGCTCTGGGGCTGGTCTGGGAGCCAGGAACTGGGCGGTCTGGGACGAGCGTTCCTCCAATCTGTGTTGTCTCAAGGTGAACACTGGATAGACTCAGTCTGTGTACTGGTGTCTGGCAGAAAACTCGGGGTGAGAGCTCTGCAGACAAGAGCAAGTCCTCTGTTTAACAGCGATCACTTCTGAGTAGCTGAGATCTGAGTATCACTTGGCCTCGTTCAGGCGTGTCTGGCGTGAAGCTCCTGCAGAGTGGGGCTCTGGGTTGGTTTGTTCTGGTGGTGGGTGTCCAAACGGTTGTACTGGGCTCCCTGGACGAGTCTCAGAGAGTTCACGGCTCTGTGAGACACCGAAGTGAAACCAGCTTCTCTTTCCCCAGAGCTTCTGCGAGCCCCAGAGCTACCGCCCCATGCACCACAAAGACTTCAAAGAAGATTTGAAAAGATTCCGCACCAAAAGCCGGACCTGGGCCGGTGAGAAGAGCAAGAGGGAACTGTACAGTCGCCTGAAGAAACTCTGAGGGCTGAGCCCAACCAGCAAAGACTGCCCGTCGTGGTGGGGGGGAGGCTGTTCTGGGTGGGTAGCGGGTACCGGCGGGCTTTTCATC